TATGGTGAGATTATGAAGGTATAAGTCACCACGAGTTGTTGAAGTCAAATTTAACGATTACTGCGGATAAATACATTCAGCAATTGCAAAGAGTGCAAGAGAAACTCCTAGAAAAGCGCCCTGCACTCGTCAATCGCAGAAATATCATTCTTTTACACGACAACGCGCGACCGCATACAGCAAGGGTGACTCAAGAAAAAATTCTTGAGCTTGGATGGTCTGGTTTACCACATCCACCTTACTCCTCAGATCTTGCCCCGACAGACTACCACCTTTTCTGTTCCTTACAAAACTTTTTAAATGGAAAAACCTTCAATTCTGAAGAGCAAGTCAGGCAGGCTGTTGAAAGCTTCTTCCAGTCCAAACCAACCACATTTTACAAGGAAGGAATTGATAAACTACCAGGAAAATGGGAGAAGGTTATAGAAAATAGTGGCGAATATATAATAAAATAATATAATTTTGTTGTTTAATGAGAACGAAATAAATGTCTGATAAAAAACGGAAGTTACTTATGACTCGACCTAATAAATGAAGGACCTATATATTTTGAAAATGTAATTTGATTTTATATTTTCATTGTTGATTAGTACCACAATTCACCACGTGCTGTAGACTATTGTATTAATATACGCTTCGTTCTATGTGCACATGCAGAGAATAGTAAATACTGTTAGTAGCAGTGTGGACTATAGATATACGTATAAATACGTATGTGCTTATCCATGTGTGTTGAGCTACACATAGTCAAAAGTCACACTCATTGGCCATCATACTTTCCAGAATTGAACTCTAAATTTTTATCTGTGCAGATAAATGAAAAATTAAATTTACAAAGTAAATGTAAGCATAAGAGATGAACTACTGGCATTGTGAATAGTACTAAAAACAGAACAGTAAAGATGACCTTGAAATATTTACACTATTGCGAAGGAAATTAACAATCATATCGAAGACGAACTTGTTAATAACTACTTTGTACCGATATAAATTATTTTTGTGTTTCATATAATTTAAGTATTTAATGAATGTATCATTTAATTTTCCTGAATATATCTTTTAAGATATTCTATGGCTAATAGTCAAACGATTGTAGCTCCACTCTCATAGATTATCGAACACATTTATATAACAATTTTTACTCAAAATAGTTTACACTGTTATTTTTCATAATATTTATTATTTCTTTTGAAAGTGTTTGAATATTGCTATATGTGACGATATCGTGTCCCTACGTATGGCAACTGTGATGAAGACATAAATGAAAATATTCGATAGTGGCATTGAAATTATAATTTTAAGTTCACTAGTAACTGCAACAACGTTTGCAGTGTTTTTATTAATATTTATAGATGTTACACAGTGTTTTGTTGCAAGCCTTTCCTCCATAATCAGAAGTTACAGAAAGGTAGGTCAGGTGAGTTGAGAAACCAGTTGCATTAATCCTTTTTTCATGTTTTTAAGAAGTACCGTGTCTAGGTACTTACGACTTTCACACAATGTAATTGTGTATCTTATCAGAAACTATTGTTGAATAATTAACACTCGATTTATACCATTACTCATAATTACAAGTATATCAAAGTGCGACTCATTTCGTTTAAATCAACAAATTTTCATTACTAGTAAAAAATTGGTATATACTTCATATAGATTCCATCTTGAGCATACATTTTTCGCTCACGTAACGCAAATATTACTGAATCTATTTTTTTATAAAACTTGATTTGACAGAATCTTTGTATATTGGAGTTTGCTGCATTTGGCGAATTGAGAACAGTATTGAGTTCATCCATTTGAGAAATAAAACTATCGTGATATATTTAGTCAAGTGATCTATTTATACAATATCCATATACTGATAACTATATCTAAGGTGTTAAAGAAAGCTTGAAGATGTCATCTACTAAATTGACATCTTTATATTATGTTTTCGTTCCTTTTGGTTAATCACACCATATTTTCATATCATTTGATTAATCGTATTTTAAATTTTTATTAATCATATTTTCGTTTCATTTTGTTAATTACACTGTATTTTCATATTATTTGATTAATCATACTACATCTTCGTGCCATTTAACGACTCACATTGTATTTTCGTACTGTTTGATTACTCACATTCTATTTTTGTACCGTTTGATTACTCACACATTCAATCACATTCATTCCAAACTTGATTCTACTGCAAAAAAACTATCAGCACACGTTCATCATTATTTTAAATTCATTCAAAATATTTGTAACTGAGTAGCGGTACCATTTCATCAGATTCCTCAGAGACCGACAAAAGCAATACATTCTCACATCAAATTAGTTAATCTACAAAATTCACAATACTCACTTTTGTAAAACATGGAAAAATTTCGTTGAAAAGTCATAAAACTTGAAGTCACTTCGTTAAGCTTGCAGACCTAGGTCTGTATTTCTTCTGATACAAGTAACTCTTCTAATTCTTGTAGAGCTCCTCATAAATTTTCTTTTCTTCAACTTCAAAATTTCTGTTTTAGATTCTTCAAAACTTCTTTGATCTTTATTTATCAAAGTATAGTTGGTACTGCTGTAGTCTTTAGAGTATAATCATGTCCTACAAGAGAATATTTCCAACATTTTGACAGTATTGCAGCTACCTTCATCCATATTAGCCACTTGTGACGTTCTTCAAAAGATCTCATCTTCAATTCAAAGGCCTACTTCTTTTTCTACTGTTCGTAGATAAATGTTATATTCTCTTTCATAATAGATTCTCATTATTCGCTGATGATTTACAATTTTATAAGTTAGATACAATGCAACTTAAACACGACCTCATCCTCAAATGTTAAAGAGTCTTATACACTGTTAACACTACACTCATGACTCTACCTAATCTGTACAGTAACGCTACACTCAAGGCTGTTTACATTGTAACACATGTCAGATACCTCAGATTTTTTCAACTACACTCACACTTATTTCTGCAGTTATTGAGGAAAATACTGTTGTTCAAAATATTTCAATTTTTTTTTTTTTATTTTTCATTCACAAGATATGTATCTATTAAACAAACGAAAGAGTTGTATAATCTTTTTCATTGTTTCTTGTGCTCCTTATATCTAGGTTTTTCTTTCATGTATACGAATTATGTTGACCAGAGTGATCACATTACTGCATGTCAGTATTTCATAACGCTGTTAACGATAAAATTACAACCGCTTCTGAAAACGAAGATATAGATGTTGAAACGTAATCTGGCAGCTTGAGATTTATCTAACATCATACCGGACGCAATTTAGACGAAAGATAATGCATGCAGGTTTGTACATCTTCCGATTTCGATACTGTCCCGAGTTTTTCCTACTATATCCTCTTATATCTCTTGAAAAAAATAAACTTGTTCCTTTCTTTCCCGTAACTGCTTTTAAAGTAAAGCTTTCTCTATGCTCGCATGAATTCGCGAAGTTATTTCCATAACGTTGATGTGATTTATGTTCACATAAAGTGATAACATAATGTTTATTTTCATTATATTTCGTATAATTAATACCCCCAGATAAGTCAGCGATAAATACAAAGTTTCAAGTTAATATTAAACATTGCTTTTAAAAGCGTCGAATAATTTGTTCCAATAAAAATATACGAGTTTTAAAAATATCGATTGAAATTTTGTTAGGTAATATGAGAAATCAATGTAGTTCGTGAAAAATCATAAAATTATTATGAAATCATTTGTACAACAAATTTTGAGCCGCCATAGTATTGTAAGTCTACGAATAATATTCGATTAAATGCGGTCAAATTATCGTTTGAAATAATGTTAATAAAGTATACAAAGATTTTTCTCCGACCAATCCAAAGAACCTTAAAAAATTAATGGAAGCGTAAAAATGTTCGTGAGAAATGTTTTTATTCTGTCCATTTTTACCAATTTTCTAAGGTCCCTTGATTGGTATTGTGTAAAGTAAATTCAGTAGGAAGCATTATTTCAGTATATATTAATTAAATGAATGTTTTTACTTGTTTGTAGATCATCATACGACACAAAATGAGACACACAATGGTAATACTTATGAAATTGATACAATACATTGCTGCTGTGAAAATATTGACATCTGTATTTGTCTCTGTGATATCCTGGAGTTTTGTGTAATTGTTGCCTCTTAGTACGGCGTAACACTAAATTAAGACTTTGTACCATTTTAGTATTTCTTTTATTTAATTCAAATTATTTAATTCCGTAGTTGTATAACTAAAGTAAAATTCAATCCCTATATATTTATTTAACTTGTTTTTATAATTAATGATTAAAACAGCTTCTCAAATACGCATATTTTTTATTTCTTCCTTATCAAAAATACGTCTTTAAACAAGTTGCACACAAACATGAAAATTATATCGATTCGTTTAAAAAAATTATAATTTTGTTAATTACTTAATTTCTGTGAACGAGCAAATCTCAAAATATTATTTATGCGAATGAGAAAAAAATGAAAAAATTGGATAAATGAATATTTTAGAAACAATTCCTGCGTAATATAATGATAGAAGATTATTTCATATGAATTTATTCGTTTCAAAGTAAAAATCTAAATGTGTAATATAATTTTTGCGAAAAGTATAGATGTATACTTTGGGTTATTTTCTGCTGTAAAAAATTACAGCATAATCTTACTGAAATTATTAGGTCGAATCATAAGTAACTTCCGTTTGTTTATCAGACATTTATTTCGTTCTCATTAAACAACAAAATTATATTATTTTATTATATATTCACCACTATTTTCTATAACCTTCTCCCATTTTCCTGGTAGTTTATCAATTCCTTCCTTGTAAAATATGGTTGGTTTGGACTGGAAGAAGCTTTCAACAGCCTGCCTGACTTGCTCTTCAGAATTGAAGGTTTTTCCATTTAAAAAGTTTTGTAAGGAACAGAAAAGGTGGTAGTCTGTCGGGGCAAGATCTGAGAAGTAAGGTGGATGTGGTAAACCAGACCATCCAAGCTCAAGAATTTTTTCTTGAGTCACCCTTGCTGTATGCGGTCGCACGTTGTCGTGTAAAAGAATGACATTTCTGCGATTGACGAGTGCAGGGCGCTTTTCTAGGAGTTTCTCTTGCACTCTTTGCAATTGCTGAATGTATTTATCCGCAGTAATCGTTAAATTTGACTTCAACAACTCGTGGTGACTTATACCTTCATAATCTCACCATAATACACAATATAAAATCTATTTAGCTGCATCAGAAGTTACTTATGACTCGACCTAATACTTCAGACGAGTTGTTAGACAAATCAGCAAGCTACCAGACTACATTCTTAAATAAACATCAATAAATAGTTTCAGGTTATTGAAATTTAACAATTCGATTGGTCCTACCCAAACATTAACCTGAACTCAATTTCAAATGTCAAATTCAATCGAAAAAATTGCTTAACTGCTACTTTTTTGATCGCACTATGACACA